ATGACCTGAACAAATTTGGTCATTTTCAGCCAAAGCCACAGCTGTTAACAACCACATATTTGGCCACCAACTGCCAAAATGGATATGGTTGTTTCCGACTAGATCCACGGCCAAATCGGCGTATGGTCGATCGTGCACCATTTCAGTGACTACCAACAGTTGCTGGTGGTGGTGGTCGATGGTCGACAGTCGTCTTGGGTGACTGGGGTATTTTGTTAAATTTTAAACTTTTGTTGTCGGGGGTGTCTTAGCTAAATTCTCAAATGTAGGAGGTTAAAGGTTCTCAAATGAATTGAGTCCCACAGAAACTCAAATGTGGAGCACTGGGGGCTACTGGAGACTTGAATCTAATGTTGGTTGTGCAATCACTATTGGCAAGCGTAGTTGAGTCTATAGAAACTTCCAGAGTTTCTTTTTTTGTGAAAAGACTCATAATTTGTCACCCAAGAGTCAAGTAACAATTTGATCAATTCATCCCTTAAAATCTGTCTGAGAATATTAATACAGTGAGGAGTAATGCATCGTAGTTGTTGGAATAGTAAGATCAAGAGCAGGATAAAGAATTTAAAAAAATTATAAACTTCAAATCCGATAGTTGTCGATCAAAGTCATCGGATGGCGACGTTCTTTCACTCTTCTAGCGTCACCTCTAATGAGTGAAGATTCTATGACCACCAATCTGGTGAGCTAGACGGACATCTACCATCAAATACCGACGTATGGACATCACATAATATCTTTTCACATTCACAAAATCCAATAATACACCTTATCAATTCCTTAATATTCACAATCATTAATTCATATTACTGATAAATATTCATATATCTCTAGCCCTTCAAATTCAATTAAACAAAAACATCAAATCAAATTAAATAAAACGTAACTGAGATGATAAAGACTATGGGGGGTGAAGAGGCTTCGGAAATATCCCAGCAAATATTGTATTTACATAATTAAAAACATCCAACAAACATTGAATCTTGTTTTTAGATTAATATCTATCATTAATAATCCAAAATAGCCTAAACTAATGACATGCAAACACTTCCAGCAATTTTAGAGCTTTTGAGATCCTACATGGCGCTCAAATAGCTTGGACTTCAAGATTTATATAGATATATAGATTTGTTGAAGCAGCTATTTAAATTCTTCTTCGCTATTCTAATTATATTGTCATAAAATTTCATATTTTATTTATTAAAAAAATGAAAATATCCCGCTTTTCTTCTTCTTTAACTTGCATTTTATGTCACATCATCTTCAACGTTTACCATTTCAAACCCTAGTGGAGCTTCTAGAGGTCGGTATTTGGGATCGGGTCCAAAAACCCAGCCCAAAAACCTGATCTTAGGACCGATCCTCTCAAGGACCGGTCTTAGGAGGTCTGGTCCCAAAACGAGACCAAGCCTAAGGAGGAGCGCCCTGTCCCTCCACTAGGCCCTCCTCCAATTTTTTTTAAATATTTTCGTTTTAGTCATTTATATAATTACATAAAACCCCTTATAAATTTAAAGAAACATAAATTATAGGGGTAAAAAAAAATTTTACAAAATTTATTTAAAAAAACAAAATTTACTTTTCTTTATAACTGTTGGCAGCAGCCAACGGTTATATAACCATGCCTCTCATTCTATTTTGATATTATCTCTATTTATATTTTATTTATTCTTTTATATGTTTTCTCCATGTAATATTTCTATTTTCTTTTCATTTACCATGGAATTTTTTAAAAATTAAAAATCTTAATATATATATTAATTTTAAGTGAAGTTTCATTAGATTTTATGCAATATGATATACATATTCAAATAATTTAACTAGTATTTTGCACGAATTATTGAGGGCTTATTATCAAGGAAAGAAAAATTAATTATGCATAAATTTATTTCAATCTATTTTTGTGAGATTTTCCCGTTATTAATTATTATTAAAAAAATATTAAAAAAATTTATTTTGTCTTTTTTATTCTTTTCCTTACAATATCTTCATATGAATCAATATCATTCATAACACACATTTATTGATTTAACTTATGAGTAATTTTTCAAATACAAAACAATTTTTTAAGCTTATTATAAATAAACAAGTAGATAAGAGTTAATAACTTTTTCCCACCCAAATAATAGTTTAATGACACTTTCTCACCCACAAACATTTAAAATATTATTTTATTACCTAAATTTGTATTTCGACGTCAAATAAAGAGCAAACTTTGTCCAGACTGTTGAGAGTTTTAAAGAGTCCCAACCGATGAGACTAAAAAAATATTTTATAAATGAATTCCATATCGTGGTTTGCTCAACAAGGTGTGGGATTCATGTTTTTAGAGCCACCTGCTTGGCAAATAGTCTTGTCAAATTGTAGGGTCCAAGGGTTTAGGGCTTAGTTTCAACATCATGATCACTATATAGTTGGACATTTTTTCTTTATATGAGAACAGGTACAATGGAAGTGGAAGTGAAAGTGGAAGTGGAACGCTCAGGAGAGACGATCAGGACCCTAATGCAGACCTCCGTTAAGGATCAAGCAAATGGACGCATATGGAACATGGCGGAAGTAGCAGCTCCAGCTCGTACATATATGGACCAAATGAGCTTATCGCTACCTATAAGTGGACCTGTCGTTTATGACGATGAAGGAGAAACGTAACATGTATATTCTTCAATGGTGGAACCAACATGAAAGTCGATTCCTTATTGTAGCCCAAATGGCACGTGACATTTTATCTGTGCCAGTTTCTACAATTGCATCCGAGTCAACATTTTCAACGAGTGGCCGGATTGTTGAAGACAGAAGATGTTCTTTAACCGATGAGATGATTGAAGTGATAACGTGTTTACGGGATTGGATTCATGCAGAAAGAAGACTATAACAGCACCCTGAAGATCTCGAACTACTTGAACTCTTTAGGAATACAGATTTGAATGATGTAAATATTGTTGACGATGAAGATCTATAATTTAATAAAAAAAATATTTAATTGTTTATTTGTGAAGCGTGAATGTGTGAAATGTGAATATTACATTTATGTTAAAATTAATTATTAATTTATTTATTAATTTATTATTTTTTAAAATTAATTAAACTTTTAGAAACTTACTAATCTACTCTTAAAAAAATACTAAAAACCCCCTATAAAATTTTATTTTGCTCCTAAATATATATAAAAAGATCAGGAAAGAAAAACAAATTTTTCAGACCCAAAAGGACCAATCCCAAACGGGCCCAAGCCGGGCCCTGCTTGGGACTGGTCCTTGACCAGCTCTAGGAGCTTCACAAATTTCAACACTTGATTTTATCACAAGTATCAGTGGAGTCTCCCAGGCCCGTTTGGGACTGGTCCTTGACCAGCTCTAGGAGCTTCACAAATTTCAACGCTTGGTTTTATCACAAGTATCAGTGGAGTCTCCTCTACTGGGTGGCGTTCACCCATTTCTCTGCCACTTTCACCTTTATAACTTGAAATAAAAAAGTATGGTCCACTATGTTCACTAAATAGTCTGTGATTGTAAACAACCCATCTTCACTAAAAATGAAATATGCATAAATTGTGGGGTGTAACTGTAAAAATTAAATATTGGAGTGAACAGTATGGGTACCTACGAGTCCACCTGTACCCGTATAGGGTAGGGTCCAAATCGAATATTTTGGCCCGTTTAGAACCGATCCGTTTTGGACCCACACCTGTTAGACCCGTATCCGATGAGCTCGGCCTGTACTTGACGCACCCACCCATTTTGATAGGTCTATCGACAACCGATATCCACCAAATCACTAAATCAATGATGGTAGACTCTTCACTTGCTAGCGGTGATGTCGAAAAAGTGAAAGAACGTCACCATCTGGCAACTTTGATTGGTGACGACCTTTTTTTTTTTTCTTTTAAGTTTATTAACCCTAAATTTAATATAAACCAAGCTAGGGGTGAAATATATTTAATAAATTTGGGTGGAAAATTGTTATTCAGTCTTGTTAAAAATTATAAAGTTAAATAGTAAAAGGTATTTTCATCTTTATAATAACTATATCATACCAATTAATAGATTTCACTAACGGATCATAATGATAAGTGAAAAATTGTTCTTGTTCGAATTTTTTGGGTGAGAAAATTACCTACGCCAAACCTAATTGGGTGGGAAATTATCATTCTCCCTTTTAAATTTTATCAATTTTTTGAATAAGACAGGAGCTAAATTTTTACGATATAAGCAAATTTTGACCTAAGAAATTTTCAATCATCTATAGGAATAACAGTCATTGAAATTGAATGACTCCCCTAAAGCATGGTTTTAAAACCCGGCTCGGCCTGGCCAGTTGAACCGATTTGACCGGAAACTGATGGCTACACCAGGTTGTTTCATGTTAAAACCCGAAAATAGCAATTGACCCGCTTCCACCCGCGGTTGAACCAATTTTTTTCCAACGAACCATCGGTCCAACTGGTATAACCCGGGTTTGCTACAGTGAGATATTAAAAAATAATAAAATTAAAAGTAACCCTTTTCAGCTTTTCTCTTCTCTCTTCCCCGTTTTTATTCGACAAAACCAACACCAACAAGAAGAAAAAAAAAAAAAAAAACTCATTAAAAATTAAAATCTGCATTTTTTTTTTAATTTTTTGTTTTTTTGCTGGCATCATGCTAACGTTTGCATGATGACGTCACGGTCCGACCCACCAGTCGAACCTTTCGACTTGTAAAACTAGTGACCTAGTGGCTTGGCCAGGTTTTCCCCCCGAGTCGGGTAACCTTGCTTTTAACTTAATTTCAATTTAATTTCCATGCTTAGTACTGCAAAATTTCTTTTCACTTTTTGAATGATAAAATCAACAGATTACATAAAGATTAAAGCTTTACAATTAAATTAAATTAACTCATAAATCATACCAATTTTGAATAAGGGGAAGTAAAAAATCCGGTATTCTATAGATTAAAAGACGCACACAAACTATAATATAAGACGACAACATTCATTACACTGAAGGAAGGCAGATATAAATCTTAAAATATTTTTTCATAGATCCATTTTTTTAGTACATATTATAATTAACTAAAATACTGATTTTATTTTGCCTACTAGAATAGACATCCATACTTAAATGGTTCCCTCTAATGGTTGATGATGAAATTTGCCATATCTTCAATTAACTTATTGGCTTGAACCGCTGTCTCTGGGTCCATATCCATGGCGAAATAGAAACTATGTCCCATTCCATTATTTATCAATATCTCCACTTCTTTACCGGCCTTCTTCATAGCTTCGCAATATTCTAACTCTGAGTCTCTCAATAAATCCATCTCCGCCACCACTACAAGCATCGGCGGCAACTTTAGGCCGTCCAGTGGCGTAGCATTTGGGCCCATTGGACACGTGATTGGATGGTCTTTTGTAGCACCAATCGGAAGTGCTAAAGACATGAACTTACTTACCATGTCACGAGTCAGCAACGGTGTTTCCGGTAATTCCAAAAACGACTTGCTCGGCTCGGCTCGCAGGAAACCGGGGTGTATGGCTATCCCGCCAGCTATCTTCACCGGCTCCGTATTCATTCCTCCAGCCCGAGCCGCTAAGTCATGTACAAGATTCCCACCAGTGCTATCGCCGATCAGAAAACTTCGTTGAAAATCGGCTAAATTGTCGAGCCACGGCTCGGATGACTCGCCTCGAGCCACTGAAGAAAGCCAGAGGAATGCAGCATAGGCGTCCTCACATGCAGCTGGGAGCCGATCCTCTGGTGCAAGCCGAAGGTAGACAGAGACAAAAACAGCTTGAGCCGACACCACAAGCCGTTTATAAAAGTTGTAGTACATGTACCAATCAGGACGGCTAATGCAAAAGCCGCCACCATGAAAATGAAGGATGAGGGGTAGCTTATTCTCTCCCAGGACATTACTATTCTTCTCCGGGATGTAAATCCGAACGGTTAGGCCACTGTTAGAATCAATTATCATATCCCGAGTAGCAACCCCGTCAACAAATTGATCGTGGGGTGGAGCACTTTTCATCAAGATTTCGACCTCAGGTGGACCAGTCCACGAGCGGCAGACTGTTCCATCTTCGAAAACTCGGAGCCAGTTGGAGACTTCGTCGACAGTGTTGTTGTTTTTGGAAGCCATGGCTGGTTGGATAGGTGAAGTTAATTGGTTTGCTTGCTCAATAGTGGGAGACTTTGGCTAAAATAATAGTTTAGTGGGCCATTAACTGTACGAGCAATGTTATAGTTACGGAAAAAAAAACATATACTAAATTCATGTCCTGACAGAACTAGTATCATCATCTTTTCTTATAAACAAAAAGTCATAATTAATTGAGGGTCAAGATGGTATCACTTTTATCAGTGCATGAATTTGATATATATTTTTTCAATAATTGTAATCATTTTTTCTCACTCAAAAATAAAAATATAGAATGTGGTTGTAAAGCTGCAATAACTATTTAAATAGAAGAGGAAGACAACCTCACATTCCTTTCCTTTCCTGTACTCATGATATTGCATTTCAGTTGGATCCCTCTATACTAAACCATAACTTTAAAAACTAATAGGTTTTTGAAGTTTGGTAAATTATCGTTACACTATTTTTTCGATGTTAATATTAGGAGAAATTATATTAAATAGCTCAATTTTGTACTTTGTTTTTAAAAATGTCTCAAGTAAATAACTTTATTTCAAAATTTCAGCACTTGTTGATCTAAATTATCTTTAACTTAAAAAAAAAAAAAAAAGATTATTTTTTTAACTGTAACTTAAGAAAAGGGTTATTTAATATAAATTTTCTATTATATATAATGGTGATTATAAAAATAAATATATTAAATTAAATTGATGATATTACAATTCTTATCTCTTAGTTAGTATTACCAGAGTATAAACCATGTTAAACTTAATTTGAGGATCGAGGGAAAAGCCAAGTTTCTGGTAAGTAGTGAAATTAGTTTCCCACTTGTTTTTATTTTTTATTTTTCAAAGTTCACTATTGGTCTTAAATTTCTCTTATACTCTGCAAAGACGACAAGAACCTCAACGTTTCATGCTGAAAAAGTAATAATGTTTTGTCTGCATTACCGGAGAATAAATTAAAGATATTTAACTATTCCACCTACATATATACATATTATTACATATATGCTTTCTCGTTGTTGCGGGTAATGCTTTGTCACTGCTTGTTTTCCGTGTTAATATTATATTGATAACGTTTCTTTTTACACCTAAAGATTTGTTGACAAGTAAAATTTTTGTCTTCTAAATGACTTTAGCATAAGCTGTACGGATAGACAGTAAAAAAAATTTACTTTTAATTAATGATTTGTTACGTATAAGATTTTTCTTTTCTGAATTTTATAAAACTACATGGGTATATGAAGGGGAGAGCTACTACTGTGTTTTTGTTAGGAAATGAAAGCATCTAAAAACTGGTGAGGAGAAAGATAGAAAAAAAAAAAATCAATAAACGAAGACAGCACGTTTGCGAAAGGCACTTTTATAAAGTGGTAGTCACGATGATTTGTTTCTGGATAATGGATGCGCAGCCCGGCCAGCCCTTTAGACTTTGGTGGAGCATGTGTTTCCTCAGTTTCTTGAAAAATGAGTTTACAGTAACTTTGACGAGAAAACATTAAAGAAGATCATAGGGATTTTCATACGGTATGTCATATATACAAATGTTTTTCGTCTTTCACTTATCAAATCAAGCTCTATTATTTGAAAGAAACTAATATCAATACTAGAGATCTCACATAGAGATATTTTTCATTTTTCAAGATTGTTGGGAAATTATATCATATGATTATGAAGAATCACAAGAAGATATAAATCAGACACAGTCCCAAAAAAGACAATTCCAATAATTAAAACGATGATTTTTATGATATATCGATCTATACAATAAAAAGTAATGAAAGTGAAATATATAAAATAAAATAAAAAAGATCAAAGACTCTTGTTAATGACCAAGATGGATGCAGCGGGAGTTTGGTATATATCATATTAGAACTCAATAGGTTGACTTCTGATAGCTCTTGAGAGAGAAAAGACTTTCTTATTACAGTATGTTGATACGTGATTTGAAAACCAACAATTATGTATGTGTAAAGTGTTAAAAGGCTTAAAAATTATACGTAAGGATGATTGTGAGAATGTTTATAATATTGTGACCTGTTAGTTAGTGCATAAATAACAAGTTGATAAGATCGGTTTTTAAAGTGGTTCGAATACTATGAGCAAGTCTTACGTCCACTGTGTTTATATTATACTTTGTTGTGTGATCACTAATAAAGATTACAAAGAAAACAATCTCTCATGTTATCTCTTAAGTTACAAGTAGTCAGTAAATTATAAGAGAATGATAAATCAGTTTCTTTATAGTAGTGTATTTTTACTGTTTTTGTTATAAAATGGGTGTCTGAATTTTTAGGAATCGATCTCGCTGTGAGGAGTGAATCTTTCTATTTATAGTGTTTTCAACTCAAAATAATAAGTGTTTTAATAAATTGTTTTGATTTTGTTAAGATCTTTCTTCCTTTTAATTTGTTGAGAACTTCTATTTATATCTTTAAATTAAATAGAATTTTGATATATGGTTGCACAAAATATCTTTGAAGTGGGTTTATGAATTATCCAATTATATACTGTTTGTCTTTGTACACGTGGTGAATCCTGAAAGGTGGAGTTGAATGCTGAATCTTGATTAATAGTAATGATGTCAGCATACACTTTAGGCATAACAAGTTACAAATACAATCATAAAGTATTGCATTAATATATGTGATATGTTTACTTTTCATGATTGATTGATTGGAGGTACATTCATTTTATATAAAAAAATGGTCAATGGGGTAAGGTTACCTTCCAAGTAAGTGGCACAGCAATCACACGTGATACATTTCAACTTGCACCTAAAAATATTGGCTCTCATCCCCAGTCAAACTATCTGTTTTTATTGATCTCAATTCTGAAATGCATGAACAAAGGGGGCCATGTTAAATGTTATTAAAGACAAAAGGAATCGTGGCAGGGACCAAAAAGTAGGTCCCGCTCCATGACTGGGACACCTTGCACATTTCTAGCCATTTAACGTGATCAGACAGCCCCATCTCCCTAACTGTAAGTGCAATTATTAGCACCACTGTCTCCTACACATGCCGCACATTTAATGGGACAATTAATCTTCTTTAATATTTTTATGCGGCATGTCATATATACAAAGTTTGGGACTGGTCCTTTTAGGACTCGTCCCATTTCATAGGCCTGGAATCGGTTGCAGGCCTATAAGTGATTTTAAGACCCAGATCGGTTTTAGTCCTATAAGCCTGAAAATTTTATTTTTTCTTTTGTTTCTTTTTATATTTTAAGGACAAAAGAAAATTTTGTAAAGGTTTTTAGTATTTTTCAGGAATAGATTTGTAAGTTTCTAAAAGTTTAATTAATTTTAAAAAATAATAAAATAAAAAATAAATTAATAGTTAATTTTAACATAAATGTAATATTCACATTTCACACATTCACGCTTCACAAATAAACAATTAAATAATTTTTTATTAAATTATTCATCTCCATCGTCAACAATATTTACATAATTCAAATCTGTATTCCTAAAGAGTTCGAGTAATTCGGGATCTTCAGGGTGCTGTTGTAGTCTTCTTTCTGTATGAGTCCAATCCCGTAAACATGTTATCACTTCAACCATCTCATCGGTTAAAGAACATCTTCTGTTTTTAACAATCCGGCCACTCGTTGAAAATGTTGACTCAGATGCAATTGTATAAACCGGCACAGGTAAAATGTCACGTGCCATTTGGGCTACAATGGGGAATCAATTTTCATGTTGGTTCCACCATTAAAGAATATCCATGTTACGTTTCTCCTTTCTCATCATAAAGGACAGGTCCACTTGTAGGTAGCGATTCAGTTCATTTGATCCATGTATGTACGAGCTGGAGCTGCTACTTCCGCCATGTTCCATATACGTCCACTTGCTCGATCCTTGATGGAGGTCTGCATCAGGATCCTGATCATCTCTCCTGAACGTTCCACTTCCACTTCCATTGTACCTGTTCTCATATAAAGAAAAAAAGCTGTCCAATTTTTGTTTAAAGTCAGTCAAATAAGACGTATAATCATGTCCTAAATGCTCGCCTAACTCAATAATTATACAATTAATTACGTGTAATTTAAACCTAGGATCTATAACAAGGCCTAATCCATATAAGAATGAATATCTAACCAATATTTCTCATATTTTTCTTCCATCTTTACCCTTAAAACGTTATTATATCTATATTTAGCAAAAGTTTTAGCAAATTGAAGTAAAATATCTAACACTAAATTAGTAGTCGAATAATAAATATCACTTAATGTATTAGTAGAATCATAAAAAATTTTAAGAAATGAATAAAAAAGTTCACAAACCGCTCAATCATCATAGCTAACAACTTCCTCTGGATAGTACTTTCGGTTGACGAAATCTGTAATTTGTTTTGTGGTTGGCAAAGCTTTTTCCAACATCAAGTAGGTGGAGTTCCAATGGATAGTTATGTCCATACATAACTTCAAAGGTCAAACCGGTGGGTCCTCTTGCTTACAATATTTGACGTACTCCTACCATCTTTTATTGCTACCGCCGAAGATAAATCCGATAGCCGCACGCACCATTTCCATCTTCGAATGTATAGCAGCTAAACCTACTTTAACTATCAAATTGATGATGTGGCAAGCACATCTCTAGTGAAAAAATTTGTCTTCACCACGCGGATCCAATCTCTTTTCAAATAAAGAGATTTTCGCAATGTTAGCAGCTGCATTATCAAGCGTTAGCGCTACAACTCTATCAGTTAATAAATATTCTTGCAAAACTTCAAGAATTGTAAAATAAATAGTTCCAGCACTATGTTTTTCATATAATGGTTTAAATCCATCAATTTTTGTTGTAAACCCCAATTATGATCTAAGAAATGTATTGTGACAGTTAAAAAATCGGTTTTTGATCTACATGTCTGATGTAAGTGCAATAGATATATTCCTAAAATTTTGAAATTTGTTTTTAAGTTTATTATTTATTTTGTTATAAAGTTTTAGTACATCTCTTCTACTTGTACTTCTACTAACAGGGGTATATGCTGGACATAATGCAGTTTTAATTATGTGAATAAAATAAAGATTTTCAGATAAACAAGTG